ATAATCAGCAAAAAATCAAAGAAAAAGTGTATTGTGTGTGATGTAAACCCTTGACTACTAATAAGGGTGATTATGGGCATTAGACGGCAGACGTCACCAAATCCTTGTACCGACTGTCGCGACGGTGGTCAGTGGCAAACTGTAGTGATGATAGTTAGTGACATTTACGGTAGGCAGCGGGGATCTCTGGAAATTCATGAAAGCTGACAAAGGGTTCCAAAAAGGAATTGTGACAGATTCTGCCATGCTCTTTGCTGTGATGATGCACCGGCAAACGGCAAACTCTCAAGAGAAGAGTGTTTTGACTCTCATACAAATTCCACTATTTTTACGCTCCGTTGTGGCCATCACACCAAACTACACCCACAACATCTATCGAGGTCTTTAAAGAGTTCTGAGCTCCACAGTGATCTTGAAGCCAGATGCTACTCCAATCCCAAAAAGGTCGCCCGATACCTATACACACGGCTTCGTCTTTGGCTGCAATCTCAAGTAGCTTCGGCTTTTTCTCACATCGAGTCTTCTCATATTGGCATCTCACCGTTCCTTTCGCCTTTCCATGCTTGATCGATATTCCTACCAGTTACGTGCCGTACCAAATTCTCTGCAATGTTGCTGTTCGATCCCCTGTTCCTCAGCGACCCATGCTGAGATGATGTTACTGGAAACACTTCGACTCGAATCCCTCTTGCATTGCTTATCTTAATTACAAGTTACTTACAAGTTTTTCGGACATCACATGGTGTGCAGTGCTATTTGGACGGCGAACACATTTCAATAATTTTCTTGGGGACCATGGAAGCAGAAGCTTTATGCCGGCTATCCTTAGTAAGACGAACACGCTAGGACAGATGGGCTTTTGATTCCCGACGTGCGACGACTAAGTTTTCAGGTTTCGACATAGGCGTTCGTGTTGCTGTGATTTGCTATTGCCTTTTCATCTTCTCTGCTGTTACGCAAGAGCTGTAAAGCAAGAAAAATCGGAATCGTATCATGTATTGAACTTGCCTCTCGTATGTGTTCATGGTCGATCGATCTTTCTACATGTCTACGCTATCATCT